TATATATATATAATGTGTGTATAAGCATGTGGGAAGGCATCGAAAATCCATGGTGTTTCTTATTTCTTGTCTCTGATAAATTAGATAGCATACCCGGTTAAAATTCATCACTCGCATATTCAGAGTTTTAAGACTAGTGGGATTGAAGTGAGGATTGAGCTAAAGGCTATGTAAATGTGGATTTGTCCTTTTTTTCTTGTTGACTGGATTTTTAATCTATTTTTTTTCTAGATTATTATTAAGTACCACTGCTGCAGTGAATCAGTGGCACTTTAAATGTTGAAGCCAACGGATACGTCTCGCACCCAGTGAAATATGAAGTTGGGTCTCAGTAGCCCATGTCCTTCTGAGGAGTCTTGTGGTGCCCTTGTCACAACGGCACTGACAAATGATCAGGCTCAAATAACAGCACACTGCTGCTGTCAGTTCCACAGAGACATGTAAACAAGATTTTGATGAAACTAAATTAAGCGTGTAAACGTTTCTCTCCAGAACCACAGCACACCAACACGCTATTCTACCTGTCACTGCTGTTGCCTCAATTTCACATTTCTTTTGCTTTGTCTATAACTTTTGAATTATGTAGCCAGAGAGTATGTGAGGCAGTGAACAGAATCAGGCTCACAGCACATAATGTATGTAGATGGGAAAATTGTGCCAATTTAAATCTTATGTTTGCGAACATAAAATAATAGATTTGTAATAGATTTATTAGATTATATAGATTCAATTTTAATTTTAGATAGCATTTTCTTTACAGTAACATGTTCATTCTTTTAAAAGCATATCATTGCATATTATTAAATAAGCAAAATATATTTTATATAATTACATCCTATTCAAATATCAAAGACTTAAAATGTCCACCCAAAAATGCGGTGACTTTATTTCTTCTGTGGAACACTAAAGAATATATTTCGAAGAAGAAGAAAAAAAACACAATTGGAGCCCACTGACTTCTACTGTAGGGACAATAGAACATTTGTCAAAACAGAAAGGAAGTCATACAGTTTTGGAATGACATGAGGGTGAGTAAATGCGATAAGTCATGTGTGGATAAGGTGAAGAGTTGGACAGCTTAACGAACACAATGAGAACAATAAGTTATTATTTAGTCAATAAAATTCAGATATTGAATCACATTAAAACTTAAAGATAAAGTCAGAAACTGGTGTTCAATAATGTTAAACACAACACCCTCTTTATTGCGTAGCTGCAATTACAGTTGATATTGCTGTCATATAAAATTTCCCATTATGTAAAGAGGTAAAATATAATTTTGTTGGTATGTTTTTGGTATTGTAAGGTCAAAATATGAATCATTGGACAAACAGCATTTCACATGATACAAAAAAAGTAAAGCAATGTATTAAAACATGCAATGTTTTTCAGAAGGCTTTAATGTATATTAACTTTCATGTTCGCTAAATGTATTCAGTGCAATGTATCCAAGTGATGTCAGTTCGTTAAGTTATGAGGAAGATATTTAGGTTCTACAGTTTTATTACCAAATACAAATCAATCTCAATTTCAGGTTTAGCTTAAAAAACAAAACATTGCAGCAAATGATCTGTTTGCAAAAGTCTGTAAATAACCTGTTCCTAATAGGTTAAAACAATTTCACTGTTGACCAAAGATCACTCCAAAGCATCAATGGTTGCCATTGTTGGTGAGGAAAAGCTGAGAGCGCATGAAAGACATGGGAAGCAATAAAACCACCCAAGGGCTCAGATTTCTTCCTCTTTATTCATATCTCCCTCTAAAGCAATTATCCATTTAGTTTGCTAATTTAGCTTTTCCTTTAAGTCTAGCATGAAGCAGGGGAAAATTAAGACCTCAAACGGAGAAAAAAAGACATCTTATCAGAATACATCAGCCTGCCATCATAACGGTAAGTGATGGTTATTACGCCAAGGTCATTTCACTGTTTATGCTATTTCACAATATTGTTAAGCAGCTCGTATTTTACATGTGACAAAACATCAGTCTGTATCTTTTCAGCAGAATCTTAAATTAAATAAATGAGGCCCTACCATAGCACTCCCCTACTGAGAGTGCAGGCTAAGATTGCCCCATCACTCTTTATTATTTCTCTACTTCACTCCTTGCTTTTATTCAGTTTATTAAAAGCTGGAAAGCTAAGTGTCTTTTATATATAAAATATATACAAACTTCATTTTATTAGACCACAAACCATAGTTTTACTGTTTGACAAGAAAATAAGTTGAAGTGGAAAAAGTCACATTGCTCAACTCATTGTAGAAGGCATTTGAAATGTCACTGTATCTGACCAAAGATATCCTTAACAGCATCAATGCAGCAACAGAGGCCGGATAGTTGGGCTAATGTAGGTCTAATGCAGCAAGCGGGAGCTTGTTTTTATTACTGTGCAGCCCAGTGTTTGTGCAATTTCTCGATTTTCTAAAGCCCACGTTGACAGGCCCACTCTTTGGGCCAAGCCCCAGCAGATGTCCAAACATCGGTTAATGTAACCAGCATGACCCGTGCACCCAGCACACAGAAGAAAAAAAAAACATGGTGGCCAAAGTAGAATAACTGGAATAGCCAATGATTTCACACATCTAGGAAACTGTTTAATGTAATGATGTGGTTTAACAGTTATAAACAAAGTACACCATCTTCAGCCCAGCGTAATGCTGAGAGGACTCCTTTATGTGACTTTCTCTGCAGGAAACATTGTGATGAATCACTTGACCTCTGACCCATAGGCAGTGAGGGAAGTGTGTGTGTGTGTGTGTGTGTGTGTGTGTGGGTTTCAGAGCCATTCAACCATGGTAAATGTATATCTCTTGTATATATCTTATATATAACAATATTACTATAACAATTAAAATAACTG